TGTAAAAAAATGTGTTGGAAAAACAAACTAATATTTTCGAGCGCAGGGGAAATAATGGATAATGACAAATTCATAATGTGTTTTAGGCTATCGTTAGCACTTATTTTCAAGCATTCAGTGCTAGAAAACAGTTGATATTAATAAGCACACCTATTATTTTTTAATGTTGAATGCTGGAAAATAATTGATATCTTAGAGGGATAACCATTATTTTTCAATGTTGAGTATTGAAAAATAATATTTAGAAAATTTTAAAAAATCATTTTTACATTATTATAATTATATACATTTAGTAAATATTTACAAATACAAAATAATATTTAATATAAATAAATTTAACCATAAAACAATATTATATATATTAATCAAGATTATATAAAAAGATTATATATACAAAAATCTAAAACACACACTACATAAACATACAACACATAAAATAATTAAAATTAAAGAGATTAAATAAATAAACATTAATAATAAAACATTACTTTATAACATATTAAAATTAATTACACATAAACAATTATATTTAATATATTTACTTTATAAACATAATCTTATATAAAACATTACATAATATATATAATTTAATAAATATTGTCAAATAAATGAAATTACTATATAAATATACTTTAATTCCATGTAATTCATAAAAACACTTGAAATATATAAAAAAATTTAATTAGTAATAATATAGGAGTTTATTGATAAAGAAAAAATATGAAGAAAATTGAAAGTTAAACTATCAATAAATTAAAATGAGTAGTACATCTTGTTTCAAGTAACATATTAAAGGAAGAGGAAGAGATATAGGAAGAGGAAGAGATATAGGAAGAGGAAGAGGTATAGGACGAGGAATGGAGAGAACAAGAGAAAAGCAAGAAGGAAAGTAAAAGAAATGAAAATGAAATGGAAAAGGAGAAGGAAGTGGAAACGGGAGAAGAGGAATTAAAGGAAAGATTAAGATGAGAAAGTGAAATGTATGAGTGGAGTAAAGAGAGAGGAGAAAAGAGAAAGTGAATTTGGATAAGGGATGAGAAAAATGAAAGAAAAGAAAGAAGAAGATATGAGAAAATGCCGAGGAAAGAAAAGTTGGACGTTTATATCGATAAATGTTATTTTCTACTGCTTAGTGCTAGAAAATAATTTGGGTGAGATTTTAAAAATTTTACAAGAAAAAAATGGCACTTGAATGTTGAGCTCCAAACTTTCAAATAAAATTATTTTTTAGTGCTAACATTGGAAAATAATATAAGTGGGATGTTGAATTTTTAAAAAGAAAAGATACTTAAATATTTGGTTTCTAAATTTCTTAATAAACTTATTTTTTAGTTCCAAGCACTAGAAAATAATTTGAAACAATTAGACATGAATATTTTTTACTGTCAAGCGCTAAAAAATAACTTGTACAACTTGGATAAGATTATTTTCAAGCTACTTAGCACTAGGAAAAAAAGGTGAAACATTTTTTTGTTTTTGAAAATGTTTTATGTTAGTAGTAACAAAAAAAAAAAAAAAACATTATATCCCAATGTTGAGTGCTAGAAAATAAGAAGGTACCAAATCAAATTATAAAATTAAATTATTTTCTAATGCTTAACGTTAGAAAATAAATCTTATTTTAAAATGCTTATAAATTTTAAATATTTTATATTAAACTCTACTTTCTAATGCTTATCGTTGAAAATTAGTATATTATTTTCCAATGCAGATGGAATGTAGTTGGCTGAAATATGTGAATTTATAGTTGTGGGTTGCCCAACCAAACTAGCGTGGGATTCGCGAAACTGCCACTTTCTTTACTTTCATCGCCTAATCTTAATTTTTTTTTTGATAACTATCGCCTAATCTTAATTTGCATGTCTAAATCAAACTCATTTCCACAATCTTTACTTCTCCATGAGAAAACGACTTTTTGAAATATTTATTAACATCTTATGATATGATGTGTTATAATTTTTGTTAACACTTTTACTTTAAAATATTGTCATAATTTTAGTGTATTATTAAATAAATAAATTTATGTTTATAAGATGAATTTATAAAAAAATTATGATAAATCTTAATTATTTAAAATAAAAAAATAAAAAATTAAAATTCTATATAAATGATATGTATTAGAATTGTGTATAAATAAATATTTCTTCCCTTCCTAAATCCCTCCCTATCTATTCTAAAATTCAAACTTCACATCTTTAATATAAGATTTCCGACTCTTGACCACTACTTAGGATCATCTGTGCATATATTATAAACTTTCATCTCTGATGATATGGGCCATGGAGATTTTATTACGGCCTTATGGGACCTGATTAAGAAAACACAGGGATAAATGATTTTACAATTTTCATATTATCTGATTCCAGTGGGGAAAAACACAAACTAAAAAGGGATGGCGAGTAGAAATTGATTGAATAGAACTTAATAATTCAATGTCTGTGATGCATGTGTAACTTATTCCTACAACAATTAAAGCTTTTGAAGTTTTGAGTAGACCGGACTAACAGGTGGGATTAGATGGGTTCGAATTAGGTTATCTTAAATTTTGGGTTCATCAAATTAGTTTATTTTGAATTTTGGGTTAAATAGAGAAAGCTCATGACTTACATGAGTTTCGAATTGGGTTACATGGATTAACTTTTAAAAAACTTTAATATTTTACCTATCTTTTCATAAAAATTTAATCTTAACTAATTATTTAGTAAAATAAATATATTAAATGAGGAAAATAATGCTGAACCTGGCTCTATGGCCAAGTGGCGCTAGCTACTCTTAAAGGTTCATCTCCCCCTCCAACAATGGTTCTAGTCGGCATCACGACAAAAATGTTCAAAAAAAAAAAAAGAATAATGCTTATTTGTTTAAGAAAAATTATCTAAAAACTATATCGTTTCCATTTAAAAAGACTTAAGTACCTTATTTTTAAAATATGAATTAGAGTGTTTTTGGTATTTTATTAAAATAACGTAGTTTTAAAATAATTTTTTTTCTATTCTTTAGTAAGTAAAGTAGATAAGCACTAACTTTTTAAATTAATATTGACTCTAATAATCCAATAAATAATGATCATTTTATAGTATTTAATTTTATTTTATATTTAAACATTAAAATTAAAAACATAA